TCGGTGGTTCGACGGTTTTCGAAAGTTAAACTAATGGTATGCTCGTACAATCTCTTCTCTTTTAACGGCTCACCCCTTTTCCATCCCTTTTCTTTCGCGGTTTGCTCCTATTTCGAAAGGAACGGATGCCGAGACGCTGTTTTCTAAAACTTTCTCCCTCCATCATTTTCCTAACCATTCGCCTTCTCATTGGTTAATATTTATTAATTACTTGCCATTATTTCGTCACATAGTTGAATATAATTCATGCATATCATCAATTTCACGAAAAGTTATCGTAATTTTTTAAAAATTAATCAATTATTCGTTCAATGTAACTTAAACATTTAAAAATGAGATTAAAATAACGAAGATGAAAAATGATGAAATGATTCTCGATAAAAATATTTTTGTATGCATACTTTTACGTGTAATAATTGATGGAAGAAATTTGATACACCTTATTTTGAATATTTTTACATACTAAATGCATTAATTAACTTTCTTGCATCTATGATCCTTATAAATACATGAATTATTCGCACACCATCGATCCCTAACTCGCCCCCTTTTAAAATTAAAATACTTATCCAACGATTAACCCACTTTCCATCATCGAGCCTCTTTTTATTTAACCACAAAATTGCACAGAAATCTGATCGTGATTGTTTAACCGTTTCATAATAACCGACATAAAGTGTATAATTGTAAGCTAGAGCGGTGATTTGGTTCAACGGTTCGAATTATAGTCTTTCCAGGCTCATTTCCCTGGCATCACCGCGACAAATCTAGTTCATAGTTCGTTTCATGCTCGACAACACACGATCGAGCCCTTGGTTGCGAAGGGCATGCAACCTCTACAACAGTGTCTCTCAACACTCATCCCCTTTTTCTCCATTACGTAAAAATTTATTTTTAACGGGATAAAGATTAAAATTAAAATATAATATTTTATTTTTAATGCCTGTACAGGAATATTACTTAACCAAGTATTAAAAGTTTGTCGTGAAAAATATGAAATATCGAATTTCTAATATTTTTTCAATGATAGATCGTATAATATGTAATTTATTATATTTTTACATAAATGACGATTATCGAAACTTTAAGTGAAACATCAATATAGAATCTTCGATATTTTTCTCAATGATAAATCACAATTTATTTTACTGTAAATTCAACTATATTACAGCTATATTAAACCAAAGCGTTGAAAAATCTTATAGTTGTAAAAATACGTTTCGTGTAAATAATCGAGTGATGATCGAATAAAGAAAATTGTAGCAACCCCCTTAAAAAAATATTTCGTTTCGTTCCGAACCTACGGGTTGGGAAACACTGGTCTATAAAATAGACGTTCGTTCACGAGGGTTATATTTATACCGCTTGGAAAACATAAGCGTTCTTATACACGCGAGCTGTGCCCCGTTCGAGATATTTCTCTTACGTTCACTCTTCGTCTTTGGGAAAGGGGGTAAGGTGTACGTAAAATTAAGGCTTCGTAAAATTAAGATCCACCTCGTGGATAAGCTGTTGATCGATCACGTAGATCGTTTTGAAGAAAGATGTGTATGTGTATCGGAATGATCGTTTAGAAAATTATATAACGGTGTTGGAAATATGCAACAATTTGTGTTAATTGTGTATTCACGAGGCTGTATTAATTTCCACGATGTAAGGGGAGTTTTAAATTAAAGGGGATTAGCTAGAAATATAGCAAGGCGGAATAAAAAAATTAAAATGACCGATTTTCGAATTTACAAACGCGAGTGAATTTTATTCCAATATATTCAACCTCGATATATTGCGTGTAACGTATAAAACGATGATATTAATAAATTTATAAATTCCCTCATATTATATAACGAATTATAAAAAAAAAGTTGTATTATACATAATATATTAGAAGTTTAAATTTCATCATCTCGGGTCATTAAAAAAATGGAAAGATGTAGAATAATATTGTTGGAAGTCTGAAAGAAAAATTATATCATTCTCTGTCAAAGCTTAAATGCCGCTCAATTCTTACGAACAGTGGAATCACTACAAATGCACCCTCTATTTCCTTTCTCTGAAACGTTTTCTCCCAAGGAATCGATTCGTAAATAAGGGTCAAGGAACAAAGGAGGAGCCGTGGCGTTTGTTTCGTCTACGGCCATAATCGAGCGTTTCGCACCTGGGGCATCGAAGCGGCCTTGGAGTTTCTACACCAGCTGAGCGCGATCAGCTGTCGCGCCTATAAGCTCTTATAATATCGTTCCATTGATTCTTACCGGCTAACGGATCTCTTATCACGATCTCTACTACTTACCTATTTATCAATTATTCGTTTAGATAAGCATATAAATTTTTCAAAATGGACAAAAAAAAATGATGAGATGAGAAATCAAGCTTTCTCCAACGGCAAATTGATAATTTTGTCAAATTTATGGATACATTTTTTTATAGGTAAGAGGGTTAGAGAATTGTTACTGATGATGTCAAAATTTATTGTTATCAATTATTTTTATATTAATTATTCAGAAAAAGAATAGATGTGCTCGTATAGTTTGCACGATTCTTGTTGCAACAAGTCAATAACTGTTGGAAAATCAAAAGAAAAATTCGTTAATAAGAAATACGATAATTTCGTTCAATCTTTTTTGGTTACAATTCTTTTTGTGGCCTTATATTTAATCTGCCGCAATTTTTTGCAATCTTGTTTTTATTATATTCATTTTCTGATGCCTTTTATTCTTTTTTCGTTTCTATACGTATAACTTGTTTTCTTTGGAACCCATACTATATTTCTTATTTTATTGCTGTACTTTTTTTTTTCTTTTGTACTTTGCTCTCGTATCATTGAAAGGTTTCTTTCTTGGAACTTTTACTCTATTATTGCAACTTTTTTCCCGAAAAATTTCTGCAATACCTTTCCTCGAAACTTGTCTTACTTTTTTTCTTTTCTTTTTTTTTTTTCCATTGCAATTTTCTTTTTCAGAAATTTCAATGCTGCTTTTCTTATTGCAGCAACTTCTCGTTCTCGAAACTATTCTTCAACGTTACACTTCTATTTCTTGATATTTTCTCGCTAATAAAATGCAGATTCTTATGCAAGATTAAATTTTTATGAACATGACTAAAGAACTGGAGTTTAAATAGAAACTTGTATTATTCCTCGAATACCATAATGCATACTCGTAAAAATACTTTGAATATTTTTGCATGTCGTGCATTCTCGAGATACATTTCATACATTCGCAATTTTTGCATAAATATCAGTTTATTTAATTATTATTACCATAAAAAAAAAGAAAAAAATTCCTTCTCAAATTTCTCATATATATATATATATATATATATATATATATATATCAATGTTTTCTTGAATACCACAATAAAAAAAACACTTTGTTTCCCATTTCTCATTCCTATTCCTCGTATCTCCCCATCTTTAAAGCGATCTCTCTAGCCGTTCTTCTTACTGGCCACTGGTCTTTTCTCGGTAAACCGAGTTCCACTCTGTTCCATCTGTTATTCAGATACAGATAAAGGAGGATCCTAGAAGCATCCTGTAGCAAGGGAGATAATGATCTTGTTTGATGCGACCACAGGGCCTGGCCTGCCTACTCTCTCGCATGGTCAAAATACGGATAGCCTCTCTCCAGCCATACTTATACCGTGTACACGTAGCACGAGGATTATGAACCACTTCCTGCTCCGTTTTAACCACTTAATGCACCCGTGACGTTATATGGTCACGCTTCATCGTTAGATTTCTGCACGCCTGTAACAATCGAGTATATAGTTGTAGTTGATACGCTTGATCCATCGATCATTTATCGTAAAGAGATGCAAATGAGATTGATTTTAAATTTTTGAAATGCGATTTATAAAATTAAAATTTCGTAACTTTTTGAGAGGTAGAACATTATGAATCAATTTTATAATTGTATAAATTAATAAGTATATATAACATTTATCCTTCGTTTCTATTTATTTTATTGCAAAAGAGTACTTTATTCTGTTTTTTGTCTGCATTTAAGCATTTTCCAAAACAATTGTCTTCTACGCAAGTTTGAATTCATTTTACGTAGAATCGATGATATTCATCATAAGGATTTTGTTTTATTTTGAAAAGAGGTAAGATAAATTAAACGCATTATCACATCTCTCGAGTGTTGCTCTCCCAAGTTTTTATCGCTTCCTCCGCACCTGGAAGTATCACAGTCCCTTTCTTACGATTTTCTTTTTTCAACTTTTCCCCGGGCAGTTAAATGGCACAATGCAACGGAAGAAAAACGAGCTGATAAGTCGAAGGAAACGATCCACCGAGATTACATCGGTCAGCCCTCCGACAACTGCGGTTGCGGCTTCAACCGAATCGCAAGGTCGTTCATCTCTATTCGCGAAAATACTTGGTCTCAGCTTGTGCAAGAGACCATTGTCCAGGCATCTTTGTCGTGAACAAACTCGAATTGGAAACAACATTCCTCTCTGCCATTCCACTCTCGTGTATTAATTTCGATTTTTAATCTATTGACGCGTGATAAATATTTCTGATCCTCCGAGAGGGGGGCGATATTGTAACTCGTGTGTTATTTTTTTTTTTTTTTTTTTTTTTACTTTTCTTTCTGACATTATCTTTAGCAATGATAAGAAATAATCTTCGTAACCGTGATAATCAACGACGTAACCACCAGCTGGATAATCTTTACTCAAATAAATATATATACGTGGTCACAGGTAGATATTTTTTTTTTTTTTTTTTTTTTNTTTTTTTTTTTTTTTTTTTTTTTTTTTTTTTTAGAGAATTTTTATCGTAGTTTCATAAAAAATTTCATAAAATAAATAAGTAATTCAAAATAAAAGTTCTGTTATCCAATTATTATCATTTACAGTATATGTAAGGTATAATTAAATATAATAATTATCTTTATGATTTTCTTGAAAAAATAATTCGAGATTGAAATTTTTAAATTTTCATTTGCTTCTGTTGTAATTAATTTCTTCATAGAAAAGATTCTCCAATATTTTAAAAATCGATCGAACCAGAAGAAAAAGTCTCTCTCTTTCTTTCTCTCTGAATCTGACTTAAATTCCTCCGAAACGATACGAATTTTTCTCGAACGTCGATTTCAATCTTATTCCAACCGAGTGAACATCTGGCTCTAATCGTGAGATTCACAATCAAAAATGGAATTCATCGACACTCTCATCCACTGTCGAACGTTTTTCTCGCTTTTGGAAATCGCCTTTCCGATCGTGTACACGACTTAAATTCCTTCGCAGCCGAAGAAAAACGCAATATTGACTCTGTCCTTTCCAAAATTTCAACCATTCTTGTGTCAACATCTTGAAAAAGATTCCTCTGTCATTTTCACGTGAACAAAATGCCTATCCTTTCCATCGTAGCTACCTGGTCGTCGAATATTCGTCGAATGAATTTTTCTGTCATGATATTTTCGATTCCATTTATCTCAGAGCTGTTCCTCGATGATCAGAGAAGACTACATCCAGTTTTTGCCAAGATTTTGCGGAATAGTCAAAATTCTCTAAAAAAAAAAAAAAATAATTAGTGACCAGGTTACACTTTATTTCAAAGTTGAAGTGAAATATTATAATGTTTTTAATTTAAGATATTTATGTTTGTTTAATTTATATACACGTACGTATATATTATATGGTAGCTATTATGATAAAAAAGTTTTGAGATACAAGATGTTTAACGTCAGATTAGGACGTTTAATTTCTCATTATGATTTCTCATTCTTATTGAAAAGAAAATAGAATGAATGAAACGTTGAAGATTGTCGGTTAGTTTTTGAATAAACTGCAGATATCTTTGTATGAAGAATGACTCATTCCGTACTAGCAATCAGTGAATTTGCTACGCATGAATCAAAAGTTAACCTAAGTGTCGATTCGAAATACTGTGTTAGAAGAAGTTTCCTGGAAAACATTTTGCAAATTAGTTGACTCATTCTTAATCACTATATATAACTACAGGAAGGAATTGTTCATACATAATAGTTGGATATTGAACATACTACTGTGATTTACTTTTTTTTAAAGAACAAAATTATTTCATATAATTTCACGTAAGAATAATCAATTTTTAAACTCAAATTCACAAAGTTTAAGAAACTGTCATAGCCAAACTATTGAAAGAACTTTAAAATTAACACAGTAAATGGCAATCATCATCATCCATTGAATCTCGTTCATTCCTAAACACTGAATCGTTTTGATTCTCGTAATCGAATGAAAGCACAGCATCCATCTTTAATTTGCTAAAAGTCGGCAGTTGCACGGTTCATTTCGATATAACCCTCGAACGGATGGGTGAAAAGGAAGGGAAAAAGGGATGGACGCGTCTTTTCCCACCGATTCTTTGACCGGTCATCGCCTCTTTCGAGCGTTGAAAGCACGCGCCCCCGTGAAAAGGTGGTTGGTTTCGATTGAAAGGGGGAGGAACGAATGATAAAAATTAGTATGCATCCACGACAAAGTTTCCAACGGAAGCCGCAGTCGTCCATTAAGGTAAATCCAAAACGGCCGAGGAAGCAACTTTTCACCGTTTCCTCTTTCACGTTTGTCCCCAACTCCGTGGTTTTTCCACGTTGGATCGGCATTGAAAATTGCGCAGAGAGTCCCCCGAGTTTTTAATTGAACGTGTGGAATATCTTTACTGTGGATTACCAACATCGAGAAATTTTACGTCTATGCATTTTTATTCATGGATTATGATGTTTTTATTATTTATTCTGAAAGAAAAATATTATTAGAGGTAGATGGATTTTTTTTTTATTGTTTTAAGAAAATCGTATTTATAGTTTTTACTTCTGATAGATAAATCAATGGATCAAAACGTGTATTTATTAAAGAAATATTTAAATTGGAAAATGAATTTTGCACGATGCGAATCTCTTTTCTTGATTTAAATTTTATTTTGCTTGAGTTATTATTCTTGAGAATTTTTCCCTTTTTTATTTTTATTTTTATTTTTATCTTGCACAGGATGATGGATTATCGCAAAGGGAAAAATATAATAAGGAGATGAAAAAGTGAATTTTTTTCATCGTTTCAGGAAATTGAATTTTATTATTACGCCGCATTTTTTTTTCTTCTTTCATTAGTTTATTTTGATATCAATCTAATTTTTCCTCGCGAGATTCTAAATCGCTGATCGAATATTAAAACTATTCGAATTGATTTAAGCTCAAATTAATTAATTTTCTCAATTTTCGTTTTAACGTTTAAGCTCTGTAAACTTCTCCGTTACGAAGATTAGATATCATCATCGCAACAACAATGCAAGCGTGCAATAGACATTTGAACACCTTAGGCGATACCACGTTTCGAGCAATCCCTGTCTCCTTAATGACTAAGCAAATTTTATCGTTCCAGGCACTTCATTTAATTCGCCCAATCTTAATCTCAATCAGATCGACTCACCTTCAAACCTTCCAATTAATTCTTTTAATCATTTAAAATAAAAAAGTGAATTTTATGAATCATCCTCGATTAATCCATCCTATATATATTGCATTGACTTCTCCAATGATGTTTTAAAATTATTTAAAAGAATATTAGAATCGCTAAAATACTTGTACTCGAGCGAAAGAGGATGAAAAATGGAAAGGAGAGGAGGAAAAGCAGTCGGGTCGAAAGGGTTAAGGGTGATTTCCTTTGGTCGATGGCACAGTTCCACGGTTCTCGCCTCGATCGCCTTTCGTAGTAAATTAAACGAAACAACCGTGCTGACCTAAAACACGAGCCGTCGACCCTGGCCGTGTTTCCGCGCCGTTCTCGGTGTGTACAGGGATCGGTAATGGATACGCTTTCCACGCGGCTAACAGGGTTACCTGGGTTGCCTTTCGCGGCACCGCTCGATCGATCGATCCTCTCTCCCTTTCCCTCCCTCTCCCTTTCTCTCTCTCTCTCTCTCTCTCTCTCTCTCTCTCTCTCCCTGCGCTCCGCATCAATAGAATGGAGGATCCGTCGAATGTACGTCCTCGTCATCGACGACGACGAGGACTAATGGGGTTCGAGTTCAATGGCTGGAGAACGCGCCACCTCGTTATCGAGAAACACGTTTCATAATTAAGCGTAATAACGTCTACGAGGTTGCCGCGTCCAAACTGACACGGTACGTTTCGTAATTAAAATCGGAGGAGGGGTCTGCGCGAAAGTTTATTTATCGATGGACAAAGGCAAATTTCGAGGAAGGGAAGTGTCGTATTTCTTCGATTCGAGGATAGTTACATTTCAATGTATGCACTGCGATTTTAGGATATCAGAAATCTTCTTTTGATTAATTTTTACTTTTAATCGAGGATATATTAGGTAGGTATGGCCGTGTTATTCTTTTAAATGAATAATAATTTTCTTTTCTACGGTATGGCTTGATGGTCGATATATAAGAAAAAAGAAAAACGTGCCAAATATTTTTTCGAGATATATATATATATATATCTCTCGGCCAAGTTTCTTCAAAATCCACGTGTACGATACGTTTCCCTTACAAGGATCGATACTGAATCACGGCCTATCATTATCACGATCCTCTTTCCGGAAAGGCTATATACGCAATTCCTCTTTACGTATCTGGAACACGGCCAAAGGGGAGGGAGTCCCACGTTTCCCTCACCGGAAAATCGAAACGCGCCAACACCTTCGATTAATTGCACCTTTGCCCAACCAATCTTCAATCTTTCCCGTGCGGATCAAATCCGCACGATTTCCCGCTTTGTATCTCAATTTTTCCGTACGAAAGTGTATCGTTTTCTTTTTTTTTTTCTTTTTCTCTTGCTCCAAATAAGCGTGGTTCCTCTCCTCTTTGCATTTTAAGCTCGATGCGCTCGATTCTTCCTTCGGTACCCGGTAAGATAATAAACGAGAAAGAAAAATGGAGGATCTAACGGTGGTGGTAGAGGGCGACACGGTCGAGCCGTTTAAATTATGCAGGATGTTAATTGCTCCGTGGTATAAGGCAACGTTTACGCGACTCTCGACGAGACACGTATTAATTAGCGTCTCGTGCAGAATTAAACGTTGCAACGTATGCAAACCAGCGCGAGATACGTTACCTTAAGTCTTCTCTCGGTTTAAGATCGTGGTGGATAGAGAGAAGAGAGAGAGAAAGAAAGAGAGAGGGAGAGGAGATACTCTTTATCTCGTGCGTGAATTAATTCGCTTAACGCCGTGTTAACGCGGAATTCTTGTTTATTCAGACGACGAGATCGAGTTCGATATATCCCTGGATCTTTTTTTTTATACAATGGATATATACAAACGATGAAAGTTGTTTTAAAGTGATGTAGATACGAGATAGTATATACAAGAATCGATTTGATTTAATAAAAGAAGAAAAGGAATATATTCTTAGAATTGTTGGAGGTTTTTTTAAAAATGGATAAAACGTGTTGAAAAGAGATCTAAGGTGTACTTTATATTTCACTAACCCCTTTCTTGTAATACTTTATTAAACTTATCATTATCTAACTCGAAGATTTTAGCTCTTTTTTTTTTTTAAAATTCGAGTTACCAAGATAATAAAATTTTGTAAATAGGCAATACTGTAGAGCATCTTACGTCCAATTTTAACTTTCATCGTTCATTTTCAGCTTGCACGAGTTTTATAAACGATTATTTATTCCTCTTCGTAAAAAGTAACAATAGAATTTTCTTGGTTATCCGATAGATAAGATAATGGCATAAAGTTTCAAGTTCCAAGAAATAGATAATTGAATCGAAATAACGTTGCACGTGGCCGAATTGAACGCGTTTTCCATGGAATTGTTGCCTTGGTCATTTATTGCATAACGCTATATAATGGGAACGACATTTAGCGTTATCGTACCAGTTTCCTATTCGACCTAACAATTAACACGAGATTGCCAGATAGCGCGTTAATAGAAATAAAATTATTTTGTCGACTTCGTGCTTACGATTCTGCTTCGAAGTGTACGATTAAAAGAGAATGCATGAAAATTCATGAATGATGAAGAATCGAGAAATATTTTTGCGTTCTCCAAAAAATTTGATTTCTAAAAATTTTGCCTTTTTGCAATTTTAAAATTTATTAAAATTACCATAAGATAAAGATAAATCTCCATCATATCGAGTATTTTGGATAATTAAAATAAATGAATATAGACAGAGATATTTAAAAATTCGCCTTACATTTTTCTCAATAATTTAAAAAATCTCGATTATTTTTCTCGAATTTAAAAGAGAACGTCTCTCCCCCTCCTCCTCCCCTCTTTTTTGCTCTTTTAATACGTACTCTTCCTCTAAAACTATCTGGACTTCCGGGATTTTCTCTCTTTATTTTTATATTTATATATAAAAAGGGGGTTGATGATTCGCGAGTCGAAATAATTCTTCAAAGGGGGAGAACCCGACACTCGGATAAAAGGAAGAATTTATGATACGGTCGCGAAATGAAATTCCCTTGACGAGTCGTGCCGTGAATTACATGCTTGTACTCGTCATGCTTTCTCGCGAAACCACCGACGATGTCGTGGTTTCGTTCTTCAACCACGAACACGAACACGAACCCGCGACGATCCACCGTTTAATCGTTCGACGATAGCGATGCTCTATCCCGATCTCCGTGCTTCCCTTCCCTCCTCCTCTTCCTCTCCTTTCTCCTCCTCCTCTTCCTCTCCTTTCTCCTCCTCCTCCTCCTCCTCTTTTTTCCACTTTTCAACCAGCCCCAGAATTCGCAAGATTTTATTTCCAGATTATTCTGGCCCGCAATTCCCCTCGAAATTGCTGCCATTTCTCGCGCAAACGAGCCATTATGCAAGCAAAGCCCGCGTGTAAGCACTTTATATTTCAACCGGTTGCTTTCCTTCCATTCGAAACGCCAGAATCAGACTGCGCGGATCCCCTGATCCCTCGCGTTTCCTCCGCCCGCCATCACGATTTTCCCCGATTCGAATGAAATTATTAAAATTCTTCCTTAGAGGGACGTCGGTTTCGAGCAACGATCAAATTGTTATTTTTTTTTTTTCAAGATTTAAATTATGATATATGGATATTTTACGTGGATTTCGAAATTATTACGAACGACGATATCCCCAAAAGGGATTGCAAAATGATTTTTGTCTTTGTCTTGCCGTGTAAAGGAAATTCTTAGGAATTCTTCTGCAATGAAAATTTTCAGTGGTTAGAATATAATAGGACAGAAATGACACGAGCGATCTGTCATCGTTGACGCTAACAAAGATTGAAGATTTTCTATTTTAATTTCCATCAACCAGCCATCTTGATTTAAAAATAAAGTATTATATCATCTCTTACGAGAGAGGTATATATTTTTATATAAATTACAAAAAAGAAAAGGACGATCGTGAATTATTGGATAATATTAATCAAAGGGGGGAAGGGAGTTTTCTAGCACACGAAACGTGCTTATTAAAATAAAAATATCTTACCTTGGACAAAGGGACAACAATTAACTGGATCGTGGAGGCGATCGATGAAGATTTCGCGCGGTTATCGAACGTTGTAGCACTTTCTTCGTCGGTTAAATACTCGGATTCATTGTTCGTGAACGGTGGAGGAAGAGGATGATGAACAGAGGGTTGATGGCTCGACTAAAGGAGATTAGATAGAGTACGTAGGGAGAGGTCTTAGTCAGCATCTCCCGGCTTCTTTCTTTCCGTGAAACGGCCACGGTCTGAAATGAAATATTGAAGTAGATAGACCTTCCAACGGGCTATCGACTAAACTCCAAAAAGTATATTCAAGAAAAAAAGAAAAGAAAAAAGAAACATTAAACATTCATCGAATTTTTAATGAAACTAAGAAACAAACATTGAGATATATCATTCTGTATTTATTTTTAAAATTGTTGTTCAAAATGATAAAAAAAAAATCTAACTGCTGCTGAAACTTTAATTCTTAGATTCGAAAAGAGCATGTGTTAGATTTCTTTCGTCAAATTCCGTAGATCGTAACTAATAATCCGCCCAACGAAACTCGTTGGATTAAAATGTAACAGGATTTCGAGATATTTCCTTCTTCCTTCCCCGTTGAAAAATCATGTTCTCCGCGCCGATTCTCCCTCTCCTTCCACCAGACAAGACCAGACCCGTGGGATTATCTTTCTATTTTGCCATTTCGAGGATGAAAAAGGTAAAATTGACGCGAACTCCCTCGGCGACTTGTTACGGTTTGTGTTCGAGATTAGACCACCCTTCAACCTCCCCCAACTCCAACCTCCCCCAACTCCAACCTCCCCCAACTCCAACCTCCTCCCCAATCCGGTAGAAAAATTGTCTTTCATCGAATCCCGGAAATGCCACGAAAGCAATCGCATTTCCCGCGATCAGCCGATCCGAGACATCGTTCTTCCTGTGTTTTGTTACTTCCGTTACTGGAAACGAGATCGTTTCTACCATCCTTTAATCCTTTTTCCCTTGCAATTATCTCTAAATATGTTTTCTCGAAGTATAATCGAAGTAATGCAATTTTTATTTATAATTTCTTCTTTTTTCTAGGGATAAATTTAAATAATCATTGGATTTTTTTGAAAGAAATTGAAGTAACTTTCTCTTTACGAGTTTCGAGATTTCTGCATTTTTAAGTTCCTCTGGAATCTGGAAAGATATCCATGGATTTATACAACACAAATTTCTCGCTTTTTCTTTCTGGAAATATACAAAAATATAAATACTCCATCTACGAGATGCCATAGTATAAATATCACTTTCCAAAACAATATTCGACATAGAAAAAAAAATCCTTGAATTCTGCCACGATCCATTGAATCGTCCCTCCAGTTGAGAATCACGTATCGACCGAAGTCGCCCTTTCCTGGGCTGGAACATCGTTCAAAAGATATCCAGGGACGCGTTCACGGCGTGGTGTCGCGTGTAACAGAATCGTTTCAGCTCGAGCACGAAAGCTGACTGCACAATATTTCCGCGTTAACGATAACATCGACAGCCGGCGGAGAAATAGAATTTGCCGGATCGATTCGAAGGACCGATTAATTCCACCTGTGCGTCGTCGCCAGACCCAAGTTTTCCTTCGATCTCCTTTGTCGACCATCCCCGTCTCGATCCCTTCGGGCACTCGCCCACCCTCCCACGGGATTGTGTATGCGTTCACGGCCCATTAGTCCAGACAAGCACATCCTATTACGCCCGTATTTGACAGAGGAACGACGAAATCTCGGCAAATTTTCTAAGAGAAAAGACAAAGAGAGAGAGAGAGAGATAAGATATAAGGTGTCTTATCTGAGATTAGCTCTCGATTTTTATTATTATTATTCGCAATGAGAAATGATATTCGCAATGGAAATTGAATAGTTTGAATATAATTTTCTACGAACAAATATATACATTTCTTGCTATGGATAATATAATAATAATAATGAGAGATGTGATAATTTAAAGGAATGAGACTGTTGTCCTAATAACTGGATGAAGAAAAATTTGGAAGAGAAAAAAAGTATCAATAGTTATTAACGAAAGAGAAATTCTTTTGATCTATAAAATATAAAATATCGTAACGAAATTCGTAGAGAAAGAAAAGATGTATTCATTTGTGAAAATATTTCGTTTGAATCATTTTTTCCTTAATCAATTTTTATCAATTTTTAAATATTTTAATTTTAGATATATGTATATATTTGTGATGGAACCTCAAAGGAACAATAATACCTTCCGAACATTGAGAGAGTTCATTGAACATAACTCTGAACTTGCTATTAAAAGCGCACTTGATTAAATTCCCTTCACTCGAACGCTCTCGTACTTCACTACACAATTTTGTTGAAATGTTTTCCACTCAATATATTACCGCCGTAAAATCCTTTTGCTCCGCGGAGGATATTAAATCGTTCCTCGCTCGAATCTCTTTCCTTTGTAATATCTCAACTTTGTATTATCGCTCCTTTTGCTTCGATATCCGAATTCTACTTGGTAAATAAATTATACCTTATCTTCCTATTATCGATAATATAATTATTTTTCTTCCTAATTAAAATTTTTCTAATTTAACTTTCGTTAACAAAATGTTATTCTTTCGATTAAATTATTATAATATCACAATTTGCGAGTCAAAACGACTAAAAGGAGGAGCTTAATTTAAAAACACTTTTCGGATATTATTATTCTTATTTTAAACCTTGTATTACTCTTCCATCGATCTAATATCAAAAAAAGAAAAAAAAAAAAAAAAAAGAAAAGAACGAAAGCAAAATATCGACAAATATAATACACGATCAATTTCCAATGCGAGGAGTCCAGCAACCTGGATCGGAATTTTCCGTTTTACGTCATCACTTTTTCAACCGTGGATGTGCGCTCACACAAAGAGTAAAAATAACGCCGGTTAAAGTTAAACGTGACGTCATGTCACCCCTTTCGCCACGTCTCGCCGGTTCCACCCTTTTCGACGAGCTTCCCGCCATCAAAGGGAATCAGTCACGACCGAATCAATTTACCGCGATTAGAAAAAAGACGCCAATCCTTCCTCCTCCTCCTCCTCCTCCTCCATCGCGACTTCTTCATTGTCGATCGTCGTGGCTTTCGTACGATATCTTTCGTTCGATACCACCTCTTCGTCCGACGAAGATAAATGCCAGGGAACCGGTAATAACGTAGCTTGTCCCGGGTTTCCATGGAACCTACGGCCAGCTCCGTGCACTCGTGCCCGACCATATTTCATATCCGTGACCAATGGGAGAATCGTAAACGGGGGCTTCATCGATTTCGCCGAACCTACGTGTATAGATTCACTTGTGTAGAATATTTTAACTGGACATTCGGTGATATTCGATTGCCGATCGATTTTACGTTTTATCGAATATTATATTCAAAGTTCGGATTAATCAAGCTACTTTGTACGAGTATATTAATTTAAATATTAAGAAACTAATTGGGTGAGTATAAGGAATATTTGATATTAATAAAGACGATATTGAATTAAAATTTTAAATCATTTCGTTGATTTTTATTTTTTTAAACGAGCGATGGGTTTATAAGTTGGATTTAGTTATATTGGATTTTGAGTCCAGTTCTCTAGAATTTATGTAACTAATGACTAATCTATTCTAGGTTTTGGCAAGGTTGTATAAATTGATAGAAAAATACTGTCGTAATGAATTCAAGTAGTAATATCTAGGATTGACGCTACGTTGACGACTCGTGCCTTCAAATTTTATAAACTATCGGTTTATTTTCGGTAATTTGAATTTATATTGATTTTATAATTTTGCTACGTATATGTACTTATATATTTATTTATACGCTATTTGATATACTATAAATGATTTGATATGGACACAATCTATTTATATTTATGAAAATTTAATATAAAATTCAATTATGAAGCGCAATTAAAAATTTAATACGATTCGATATATAGATCAGGATTACAGATATGGAATCTATAATTTCTTTCGAAAAAAAGAAAGAAAGAAAAAAGAAAAAAAAGACGAGTTTAAAGGCTCGTGAAAAACTCACAACTCTTAATGCCTTCCTTTCTCCTTTAAGGAAATATTTCGTTGGAGCGGCGTCGAAAGTAGGATCACGCAGCGGGATTAAATCGGTGACACAGAAAATCCTGTTCCTCCTCTTTCCAATTCTTCTTGCATTTCTTCCTTTTCTTTTTCGAGCCACCACTCCCGCGACGTGATGTATCGCGTTACGGCAAAATGCCTCTTTGTCCTGATTTTCGTGCGGCTAAGGGGTGGCTGCAGCCTCCCTTTCAAACTGCAGAAAGGGATTCTGAAATATGACCACCACCACCCGTGCCAAGGTGAATACGCGTTTATACGCGCGTCGACCGTCTTTTGTCGATAACGTGTACTAGCGCGCGCACAAATCCCTAAATGATTCTAGAAAAAAAACGATTCCAAGATTGGTATTTGGATAGAAATGTCGCACGGGGATAGAAAGATCAAAATTGCATTCCTATTTTTTCAACGTCGAATGAAAAAAACTTTATTTCCCTTGTCTCAACTTAAATTTCTATTCTAAAAAGTGAAACGAGTTTATTAAAAATGAACGCGGTTTTTTCTTTTTTTTTTTTTCTAAAAATTTTCGAGAATTCCTCGAGGGAAGTTTTTTTCTAAGAGAAAAAAACTTCTTTTCGAAGAGAAAAAAATTGCTTGGAATTGACGATTTCTCGTTTTTCATATCTTTTACGGATTTTTTTTTCTTCTTTTTTAGATTTTAACGAATCGTTATATTGAATTTCCGATCGTGACAGATCGCTCTGGATGCATCGGCGAATCCTCCGGGCATTATGGAAATAAGACCGTGTAGCGGAAACCGAATCGAGTGTCTGCCACGTCGATTGATTTTTAAAACGTCCGCCACGGATTCGCTGTCGTGAAAATAAATCTATCGTTTGGATTAGGTCAGAAAATCTCCTTACATCGATCAATCTTACATCTTTTTCGGCCAAAATTCAAAATCAAATATTAATCGCGCAAACGTTCGTTCTCGTTCCAATTCGATCGACGATTTAATTTTTTAAATTAAAATTTTAATATTACGAGTACTACGAGCGATGAATTTCGATGGCACGTTTTCTTTTTTTTTTTTTAGAAGAAGAATCTCGTCGGAGAAGATAGAATAGACTTTAAAGTACGGGAATTTTAGTTCGAATAAATGGATAGGAAATTGTATTCAGGTATTAATCGAGGACTGTTTCATCGAGATACAGGGTTTAAAGCATTCTCGTTCGCTTATTTCTCATTTTATTCCGGTACGCTCGGCCAGCCTCCGTGAAAGCTCGCCCCTAATGACGAGGGAGAGCATAACGGTAGCAAATTCTGCCTTAACAACCTAATAAGAGCATGGCTATTAAAGCGTGAAATGACAAATGCTTTAATAAGCCGTTCCGTCCTTCGAAGCCACGTCCTTCTATCTTCTCGAATTTTCAAGAAACGTATTATTCGTATTATTCGGTCGAAATAGAATAGAAAGAATTTATAAGTGATGGAGACTCGTGAAAAATTCTAACATCAATTATTGAAATACGAATATGATGTATATTTCTCGTAATATTGTTATTACGAGATTTAGATTAATATTTTTCTTGAGGGGAAAGATTCTAATTCTTTTAAAGAATCATCGCAAGCTATAAGAAATATAAAATCTTTTCTAACTCATGTATACAAATGCATATTTTTCATATTACATAATGACTTGCATATATTTATTATATGAGCAAGGTTATTTTTGCCTTCGAATGTTTAAAAATTTAATTCTTTAAACAAAAAATAAGAAAATTGCTTTTAAGAAATCTAAAATTTATCTTAAGACTCGATTAAAATCATGTTGAAATTAGGAAAACTTTAAATCGTTGTAACTTCGAAAATAATGACTTTTGGTCAACGAGTAAACGATCGTTAGAAGCGCAAAACCTTGCCCTATAAAACTCTTTTTCGTTTATCCCGATACGACTTCCGGTTCCCGAGATATCGTCGTGTAAAAAGAAAGATAATTTTTGTTTTATTATCTTCGTCTTTGTCGAATCTCTCGTTCGCGCCTCATCTCACTGACCTATCCCAAATTCCAGACAAGTGACAGACGAGATTCCTGGAAGAACATAATACGCATTTCCAGGAAAAAATGTGGGTCACTGGATAAATCCATTCGTAATCTCTAATATTAGTTAAATATTCGAACACGTTTTAATAAAAATCCGCATAAAAATCTGTAATCCATTTAATCGACAACTATATTTCTAAATGGAGATTATATTTCTATATTAGATATTCAAAAAATTATTCTATATTTTTTTTTGCAATTATATCGTCACGTTTTTTTATCGATTAGAACTAAATATATAATAACATTTCTTTTTCGTTTCGTTTTATATTATATTTTTATGCGAATCCTTTCTTTTTTTAAACAGAAATCAAAACACAGTTAAGGATTTCTATCGTTTTTTCATTTTTCTCCGTTCTCTTCTTCGTTTCCCCTTTTCCATTCCCACTCCGCCCAATTAAAACTTCTACGATTATCGTAACCGTGGTTCGATTGCCGATAGGATACTTACGGATAATGCGTTAAAATGGTCTGGAACTCGATCGTTTTACCGTAGCCGGTAATTCAAAACTAGTTACGATTATAATATTCCAACGAAACGAAAATTCCAATTCACAAATATTTCACGAAACAAAAAGAGGA